ACTACTACTCTTCTTGAGGATCCCTTCTATGGGTTAAGGATGCTTGAAGTAGATTTAGGGTTTAGGCGGTTTAGGATTTAGGCTTTAGGGTTTAGGGGTTTAGGGTTTAGGGTTTAGGGTTTAGGGTTTAGGATTCAACGAAGGGTAATTGCTGTTGGAGTTTCTGTGACTAGACCCGAAGTATCTTTGGCCTCCGTCATCGCCGCACGCTTGCGTAGCGACCCGGGTGGCGACGGTATTACGGGGTTAAGCTCGAGGGGCTCAGGGCTGCCTGGGGCTTTGTTTCGGCTTTAGGAGTTTAACCCTAAACCCTAAACCGGGTTTAGGGTTTAGGGTTGAGGGATTGTGTGCACACAGGTTCACACAATGTAGGGGCCTTAATAATTTTAATAAAGTCTTTCTTGGGTGGGGGGGATCCTTGCTATACTTATAATATAATATACTGTACCCCCAAACTCTATTCTAGTTGCTGAGGCCCCTATTTTATAAGTTTTCCCAATGGTAGGGTTTTAAGGGGAGGTTGGGGCAGCAGCTGAAAAAACCCTAAACCCTAAACCCTAAACTCAACGGCCTCCAGAGCAGTTAGGCTAGGGCTAGGGCTGTAGGACAACGAAGGGACTCACAGTACCGCCTAAATAATTACCAATACTATTTTTGGGGAGTCCTTGTTATGATTATAGTAGAATGGGCCCCAAAACCCTATTCTAATTACTGAGGCCCTAATATAGAACCCGAATATAAATCGCTTAAAGAACCCTCTAAGGATCCCTTTAAAGGAGCCCCCGTTTCTCCGGCTTCTATACAAAGCTTGGGGGAGATGCAAGCAAGATAGGCTTGGGCCGACAGATGCGCCACTTCCATGACGTCCAAATCCTCAATACCCCAAACCCTAAACCTCCTGAAACGCTGAACCCTCAACCCTGAACCCTGAACCCTAAACCCTGAACCCTGAACCCTGCACCCTAAACCCTGAACCCTAAACCCTAAACCCTAAACCCTGAACCCTAAACCCTAAACCCAAAGCCTCCTAAACCCTAGACTCCGAAATTCCCTACAATGTGAAACACAGTAGGTCCCGCCCATGAAAAATCAGGGTTTAGGGTTTAGGTTTGTGACATTCCATATCGGTAGTTCTCTAAAATAGGGTCCCTGTTAGGGTCCTTCTTATAAGGGTGCCGTACTATATTGGGGACCCAAAAAGGGACCCCAATTTAGAGAACTGCCCATATAGTCCCTGCAGAATTATGCTACAAAGTACACCAGAAACCGTGTTTTCGTCGTTAAGGCCACTATATTGAACTCGAAAACCGTGTGCAACCCTACAACAAGCTATAAAACCCACGTGCATTCCGACAAGCGTCTGTTAAAGAAACCCTCATAAAACCCTACCAAAAAAAACGCAGGCTTGGGATGAGAGATGGCTTCGGCTTTAGGATTTATAGGTCTTGGGGTTCAGGGTTTAGGGCTTAGGGAACCCTAAACCCTAAACTTTAAGGGGAGTAAAGACTCGCAAGAGAACTCGCAAGGCTCTTTGTTCCATTTCCGCCATTTCCGCGACATTTCTTCTCTCGAATTCAGCACACTGAGAGATCAAGCAATCTCCTGTTCTGAACCCTAAACCCCTTTTAAGGAACCCTAAAAGAGAGGTGACAAACAACAGCGCCCATGCCACTCCTAAGGGGTTCCTTATTGATCCTAGCTAGAGTGGTTCTGACGACGCCCGGAAGCCTAGACTGCAGTCATGCACCCCAAATGCTAGAACCCCGAAGCTGCGGCATTACATATGCTTTCTGAACATGGGGCTTCGGAGGAGGGGGGTTCTTCCAACAAGGTGAAGGGACAAGGATCCTGTTCTATTCGGGTCTACATCCATAAACCCAAAGCCTTTGGAGTTAAGGGTTTAGTGGGGGTTTCCAGAGAAAAAGCTTAAGGTTGAAGAATTGAGGTTGCAGAGTTCTAGCTAAAACCATTTAGAACGCTAACTCCTATCCTGGTGAGCGTGCGCCACAGCAAGGCGCCGGAAGAGGTGGTAGGAGCACCTTCCCATGAAGAAGTGCCACGCTTTAGGAATTTTGGGTTTAGGGCTTAGGGATTTGGAACGTCGTGGGTGTAGCATGTTGTAACTTTTTGATTACTTGAGACTAGGAAGAGAGAAAAGACAAGCTAAAGAGGGATTTGGAGTTAAGGGTGTATGTTCACGGTCGGGTTAGGGTTGCAAGATAGTTGAAGATTGTAGGGTTCAGGGCTTAGGGTGTTGGGTAGCCTACCCACCCGGCAAACCCTGAACAATTGGAGTCTCCCTTTTTCTGCGTGTCTAGGGACAGCCCCTTTGTGAAACCAAGTACCACGCGGGACCTTTGTAGGCATATTGGTACGGTTCAGGGTTTTGGGTTTCGGGATCAGATGGGTAGTTTTCTAAAGCAGGGTCCTTTTTAAGGTCATTTTGTATAAGGGTGCCGTACTATATTGGGGGCCCAAAAAGGGACCCTATTTTAGAGAACTACCCAGATTGGTGCAGCAGTATTTCCTGTTGAAGGGACGGCTACTGCACATAGGTCTGGCCCTGCGAAAGACTTCGAGCTTCATGCGTACGGTGTAGCTTGAAGGTCTCAAGGTTTTAGGAATCGGTGAATCTGGGGTTTAGGGCTGAAGGAGGTGAATTAGCCAGAGCCCCCGCAGAGCTAGACTAGGTGACTAGGTGACCTACACGACAAATTCCAGAAGGCAGAAGCTTACAAACTTTGCAAGGCCGCAACAGAGAGATTGATCCTAGACCTATAGACACTTACTCCCTCGCAACCCCCTACTGCACACCCGAAAGTCCTAAACCCTACCACCCTGAAACTCCCCAGGGAGCCCAATACCCCTTAAATAAGGAATATACCTTAAATTATAGGGGCCTTACTGTTATGATTTAAGGCATATTCCTTAATTAAGGGGTATTGGGACTCTCTGGGTCTAAAGCCCAACATCCCTCAAGAGCACCCGGGTAGTTCTCTAAACTAGGGTCCCCTGTTTAGGTACCCAATCTTGGTACGGCACCGTTATGAAAAAGGACCCTAAAAGGGACCCTATCTTAGAAAACCCTAAACGCACCTAAACCCTAAACCCTAAACCCTAAACCCTAAACCCTAACTACCCACCTCGTGGAACCTCCAGAGCACTCCGGTCACTTTGAAGGCTCAATGCCTGGGGCTTTGGGGGCTCTGAAGCTGAGGGTCTTTGTAGGGCTTAGGGTTAGCGCTTTGGGCTTTGGGCTTAGGGCTTAGGTTTTTTTTTTGGAAGGGGGTTTAGGGTTCAGGGCTTAGGGCTTAGGGTTTGTTTTTTTGTGGTTTTTGGTTTAGGGTTAGGGCTTAGGGCTTCGTTTTTTTTTTTGGTTTAGGGTTTA